TATAAAAATCTGTCTTGTAGTATGATTTTTCTGACTTTGTTCTTCAAGATTATCTTGGCTATTGTTTTCATTTGTATGTAAATTTGGGGAACTGTCAGTTTCCACATACAAAATTAACCTGCTGAGATTTTAATTTATTTATCAAATTAAATTTAGCATTGCATTGAATTGGAGAGAATTGACATCTAATATTGAGTCTCATAACCACGAAATGTCTTTCATTTTATTTATTGTTTCTTTTACTTTCCCTCATCAGTGTTTTTTAGTTTTTATTTAAAAAAGATTTTTTTGACTGTGTCAAGTCTTTGTTGTAGTACGCAGATCTTCATGGCTTCATGCAGGATCTTTCGTTGTGTCACATGGACTCTCTAGTTGCAGTCTCTGGGCTCTTTGGTAGTAGCACGCAGACTCCAGTGTGTGGGCTCAGTAGTTGTCTGACAGACTTAGTTGCTCTGCAGCATGTGGGATCTTAGTTCCCTGACCAGGGATCAAACCTGTATCCCCTGCGTTGCCAGGCAGATTCTTAACCACTGAACCCACCAGGGAAGTCCCTGTTTTTTTAGTTTTTAATATAGAGGCTTTTGTATATCTTTTATTAGATTTATGTCACAGTGTTTGTGATTTCTCAAATAATGTAAATGATGTTTTTAAATTTAATTTAAAAATTTTCCCCTGATATATAGCAATAGCTGATTGCTGTATATTGCCTTTGAATCTAGCAATCTTATTACATTCACTTATTTCTAGTAGTTTGTAGATTATTTAGAGTTTTCTATATACACAGTCATGTTGTCTGTTAATACAGACAATGTGAATTATGGTTTTCTGACCTGTACACTTTTTGATTCTCTTTCATGTCTTATTGCACTGGCTAGGACCTCAGGTACAGTGTTGAATAATGGAATCCTCCTCTTAATTTCAGAATAAAATCATGTGATAATCTTTGAGTGTATGTGATGTATGTATCATTTATTTTATGAAGGAGATTTCTGTTCCTAGTTTCTGAGTTTATATCATAAACAGGTGTTGTATTTTATCAAATGTTTTATGATATTGAAATAATCATAAAATCATTGAGTTTTAAATAGTGTATGATAAGTGAATGATACCATGTTTAATTCAAAATAACCACTCAATTTTTAGCTATTATTTTCTGAGAACTTTTTCTTTTATAAGACATAAGAGACTAGTATTGCTTCCCAGGATGCAAGGGTTTACTTAAAAGTTTTTGTGACTAGTTTTTGTATTCTGAAATGGGTTGATCACTTGTAATAATTGTGCAGTGGGATATTGGGATGTTTGTTTGATAATTTGAAACATGGATTCTGTTAACTTTATTTCCTTGCTCATATTGTTTCCTTGTGAGGAGGCTGTTAGTTACATTAATTTTGTTTGTTTGACAGGCCTAATCTTTTTGCTTCTTTATATGTTTTAAAAGCAAATTATTAAAGTAATTAGCCTCCAACTAATAAAAAAAAATTTTTTTAAGTAAATTATGTTTTAGATATTACTAACATTTAGTATTAATAAATGGAAAAAAAACTAAAAAAAAAACATTTAGTATTAGGACAGAAATATTCTAATACTGGAAACCAAGTACTTATTTTTTCTAATTTTGTTAGGGTGCATGCATTTGGCATTGAGGTCTTATGGCACAGACTGAGTTTTAGAATCTAACAGAACTAGATTTATAGCCTGGCACCACCAATTATTATTACTAGAATTGCTAGTACAAGCTATATTCTTTTCTGAGCCTTGTTTATCTCTTAAAAATTACATTAGTTTTCATTTTCTAGAATTTTATATAAATTTTATATAATTACAGTAACATTTTTGTGTGTGGGAAGTCTTTGAGCATAATTATTTTGAGATTCATGTATGTTGTGGAGAATCTTTTGAAGCAGGAGTTCTTAGGTAGTGGATCAGAACCAAACTAATAGCTCTCAAAGTCAGCATCAGATAGATATCCTAGATTCTCTTTAGTTTGCCACTTTGATGACATTGGGCAAGACACTGTCTCCACTCTGTTTCATTACATGTTAAATGCCCAGTTCACATCTCAGTGGTGAGATCATGTACATGAGAAAGCTTTGGGTACATCCAGATGTGGTACATGTAAGAATTATAGTCCTGGGCTTCCCTGGTGGTTAAGAATCCACCTTGCAATGCAAGGGACACCAGATTGGTGCCTGGCCTGGTTAGGATCCCACATGCCACGTGGCAGCAAAGCCCATGTGGCCACAAGTATTGAGCCCTGGCTCTAGAGCTGCAAGCTGCAACTACTGAAACCCATGTGCCTAGGGCCTGTGCTGTGCAACAAGAGAGGCCACTGCAATGAGAAGCCAGGGCACCGCAACTAAGAGTAACTACTGCTCACTGTAACTGGAGAAAGCCCATGCGCAGCATCGAAGACCCAGCACAGTCAGAAAAAAAAAAGTAAAAAAAAAAAGGATGAAGTATAATCTTCGTGTTACTTTCACTTTTATTCCTCTTGATCATGTTTTTCACTTACATTTCGTCTGAGTTCCCAGGTGGGAGGGGTAGTCGGTACCTCTTTCAGTCTCTTCCTTTCCTTCGGGAGGAGGCGAAAGGACAGTGAAAAGTAGTTTCCTTTCATGGAAATAATGAGGGAGTCTGCTTTTGAGTATATTGCTTCATTGGAGATTCTTGTAACTTTTGAATTTGACTGAGGAATTTTTATATCATAGGGAAAGTAGAGTAAAAAGCTTATGATACAACCTAAGTATTTTGTCTATAATTGCAAATGTTTATTGAGTTTGTGCTCGGATCTGTTCTTTACAGCAGTGGATCACATAAAACTGGGGTAATTGCTCAAGGTAACAGAGCTGGGATTCAAATACAGGCATGATGCTTCTAGAGCCCAAGCTCTTAACCACTCTGTCATGCTGCCTTACCAGTTAATCAGTTCAGTTCAGTTCAGTCGCTCAGTCGTGTCCGACTCTTTATGACCCCATGAATCGCAGCATGCCAAGCCTCCCTGTCTATCACCAACTCCCGGAGTTTACTCAAACCCATGTCCATCGAGTCAGTGATGCCATCCAACCATCTCATCCTCTGTCATCCCCTTCTCCTCCTGCCCCCAATCCTTCCCAGCATCAGGGTCTTTTCCAATGAGTACTCACCCCCAAGTATCAGTGACCTTAAAAGTGATGTATGTTCATTGTAGAGACAACAAAACAAAAACTCACAATTCCATAATACAGAGGTAATCACTGTTAAAGTACTTCCTTCCCCTTTTTCCCTGTATCCAACCATTTCCCTGTTACTGTACATTCAGATTCTTTGAATTTTCATGCTGTTATAAATGATGCTACAGTGGTATTTCTAGAAGTGGAATTATTGGGTCAGAAGGCATGATCATAAATGCTTGCCATGTATTGGTGGCCAGATTGTAGTCCAGGAAGATTTATATTCTCTCCAACCGTGTTTGAAAGTGTCCCTGTAAGGCTGTTTCAAAAATGAGAATGATAGAAGGAAAAAAGTTACTTTCTTCTGTTTGTCGCTGTGTTTTGAATGCTATACCTTTGCATTTCTTCTACTTTATTTCTGAAAGATATCTGTGAAAATTATTTATCTCTGTGGCAGAGGTTCTCACCTGGGAACTGTGTTTGGCCTCCCAGGGGTATTTGGCAAGGTCTGGAAACACTTTTGACTGTCAGGAGGTGGAGTGGTAATACAGGCAGTAGAGGCACTGCTACAATAGGCAGGAGCAGAGATACGCTGCTGAACATCCTACAGCGCATAGACGAGGCTTCACAGCAGACAGTTATCCAGTCCAAAATGTCGGCAGTGTGAGACTGAGAAAAAAAACTAGCTTTATAGTAAGCTCCTGAAATCTAGAAGGAATCTATTTGTTGACAAGGCACTACTGCTGGGTCTTATCCTATTATTTAAGAATAAAAGAGTTCATGGTTTTCTGGTTTTAACAACAAAGCAGGCAAGATTTGTTTGGTTAGTGTGTGACTTGTTAAGTTCTTTATATTTCAAATATAAAATCGAATGGAATCAGTTCTCAGAGAACTTTCCTCAACCCCTTTGAGCAGTTTTGAAATGTTTCTGTCACTCTCTTAATGATTCTACAGTTGTTTCTTCCTTTAGAGTTGCCTTAGCTGCTGTTTTATTTGGGGTTGCCATTAAAATATAGAATGTCTGTGATTCCCAAAGTAAAAAACAACAAACTTCTTGTGGGAACTGATAATTTCAACGTGTTTGGAACCTAAACTCAATGCAACTCCTCCAACATAAAACACAGTTATTTAGGGGCTTTTACTTGGGGTTCAGTTCATTTGCCTTTATTTTCATACATATATCAATTTTCTTCTCTCACTAGTTATAATAAAAACCTTGTTGCAAGTAATAATGACATTCATAAAAATATTTACGACTTCATTTCTTTATCATTGTTGTTACTCAATCACTCAGTCATGTCTGGCTCTTTGCAACCCCATAAACTGCAGCATGCCAGGCTTCCCTGTCCTTCACTGTCTCCTGGAGTTTGCTCAGACTCATGTCCATTGAGTCGATGATACCATCCAACCATCTCGTCCTCTATCACCCCCTTCTCCTCCTGCCCTCAGTCTTTCCCAGCATCAGCGCCTTTTCCAGTGAGTCAGCTCTTCACATCAGATGACCAAGTTATTGGAGCTTCAGCATCAGAACTTCCAAAGAATATTCAGGGTTGATTTCCTTTAAGATAACATTAGTAGGGAGGAAGATTTTTAGTGCATCCAATTCCTCTCAAGAGGAAACATGATGATCTTATCTGTTGGGGAGGGGAGCACTGAAAGTCATGTTTATTCTTATTAACTTGTTACTTTTTTGTGTAGGTTCCAAAAAACTTGAGAATTTCTTTGAATTCTTTTAAATACATATCTTGTGACTGCTAGAGCTGAAACAGTTGTTGTCTTTGTTCTATTTTTATAGTTCTGCTTTCTCTAAAAAAAAGCTATTCATGAGCTTTGTCCTTTTGTGCTCTGCAGGAACCAGCACCTATGACAGAAGATCTGCTCGAAGAACAGTCGGAGGTTCTAGCTAAATTGGGTACATCGGCAGAAGGGGCTCACCTCCGAGCGCGCATGCAAAGTGCGTGTCTGCTCTCAGATATGGAGTCTTTTAAGGTGGGTCACACTGTCAGAGCTCGGGAGTCTGTTTTGAGCTATTCTGGGACGAAGCTGTGAAAGTCACTCTATAAAGTGGTGTGAAGGCCCGAATGTCTTTTTTTTCCTTAAATGTTTTGATTTCATTAGTAGTTACAACACCCTGCCTCCATCTCCTAAAGGTCATAGTCAAGCTTGCTTCTTGAATTTAAAAAAGAAAAGAACAATCTTTGAATAATAGTTGAAAGTTGAGAACTGAATCATTTCTTTATGTGTACTGGCTGTCTTCTTCCTTTGTGTCAGTCAGTTTAATGTAAGGCTTTTAGGAACCCCTTCGGATTTAACATAGGCTGGTTCGTTCAACAAACCTTTGATTGCCTACTTTGCGACGGGCACTGTGATTAGGTAATTAAGTATAGTGTTTATCCTCAAGTATAGTCTGTTGAGGTTGTGGGAGGGGATATGTAAATAATTATTAAGTGATAAATTCTCTTAGGAAATCAAGGTCAAAAAGGTGACTGACTCTACTGAGTGGGAATCATGGAAAGTTTCTCAGAAGGGTCACCTTTTAGGGTGCGTATGCATTTGCTACATGGAGAAGAGTATTTTAGGCTTAGATATAGGCCTGTATCTAGGACAGAGGATTCAGAGTGGTGACACTTAAACCCAGGGATAAAAAGAGTCTTGTTGAATTACTTTCTCTTGAAAACAGAGATACATCCACATACATTAAAAAGAAAACAGTGGGTAGTTCAGTGGGCCATAGGGCTTCCCTTTCCTGCTGCTGATTTTCTGAACTGTCTCTCATGCCCCGACTTTCTCCTTAACTACTGATACCTACGATGGCCTCCATCTCTTCATTCCATAGCCTCTCTTAGTACTGCTTTTGTGCTATGTAGACCAGCCTAAGTTTGTTATTTGAATGTAAACACTCCATGAAAACCTAGGCCACTTGCATCTTGCCTGCTAACAAAGTTAAGTGACAGTAAAAGGGAGCCTTTTTATTCCCTGCTTGTTTACCCCATCATTCCTAAGAGAAGAAATCTGTAGTAAACCTCTTGAGAGCTGCAAGTTTTCCTTAGAGATTAGAAAGATACAGAAAATCTTTGAGTTTTGCTATGAGACAAGAAAGAGATGTGTTGTTTTAAAACATAGTTGGTACAGTGGGTAAAGAGAAGCCAGTTGACTGTCAGGGCCTGTGTTAAGTCAAAAAGGTAGAGAAGGGAATTGGCTTAGGGTTGTGCACAGTAGGAAGTACTGGCTCCATCACAGCTGTTTTTTAACCCAACCGTTACCTTCTTTAATAGTCATCTGTCCCTGTCCTACTATACTGTCCTGTAGAAGCATGTGCAGGAGGACATTCGCAATTGGAACTGTAAATGCTTTTTCCCATAGAAACGTATTTGCCTCTTGTGGTAAGGTGCTGTATAATTCTCTTAACACCATGCTTCAACAAAACTGTGGTTCATTAGACTCTTTTGGACTAACCTGGGTAATGTACAAGTCTCTTACAGTGTTTTAACCAGAAAATAGATTGTATGTCAAATAACCAACTTACACATCTGCCCACCCCTATGTGGGAGTCAGATAACATATTTAAGGAAATACGTAGTCACTCTAAAGATGGTATGGTTCCCTTTCCCTTTTTGTATAGGGGTGTACTGGGGCCACGGGAGGTCCCCAGAGCTTTGGATAAATGCTGATATGTAGCTGAGGTGCTTACATGGCACAATTCCAGAAGGACAGGGCCTATTCTAGAGCATGCCCTTGGAGTAGATACCTGTAAGAGAAGAAAGAAGATAAGCCAAAGCTGAAGTGAATGTTGACAGCCAGAAGGAAGAATTCTAGTGTGAAATGTCTTCCTTTAATACATTCTGTAGTACAGAGTTCTTTCTGTATTGATTTCTTTTTTAGGTTCACTCTCTTCACTCAAGGCTTAGGTTCACTGTCTTCACTCAAGGCCTGTCTCTTTATTTTCCTGAGATGTATTCATCTGGGTGTGGTGTTGCCTGGTTAATATCCAATTATACATGAATTCTGATTCATGCAGTAATCTTGACCCATTGCATTTCACAGCAGTTTTTTGTTGCCATGATGCCATAGCTCTTAGAAGTTGATGTTGTTGACTGTCAGTTAAGAACCCTCCTCTGATTCCTGACCCCTTTGAGGGCTTTCTAAATTGGTGGGCATGAGTATATTGGTAGCCAATAAGCTCAATAAGGAGAAATTGGCAGTTTTGTTCTTTAAATTTAAGACTAACCATTCTTATCATGTTGGTTTTCATTTTGGTCTAAGGTTAATTTGAAAAGAAGGAAAATGACTTTCTGCTTAGCACTTTTTAGCAACGCCTACATAGCTGTTTCAGGCAAGTAAATACAGTGTTCACAGCAGGATGACTATGTTGTGGTAGAGAACTGTGACCAGGAAGGAATGTGTTTAGTGTGTGTACCCTCTGAGTACTAAAGGAATGACACTTAGGCCCTCCTTAGTCCTCTGCTAATACATCACTGGGCTTCCCTTGAGGCTCAGTGGTAAAGAATCTGCCTGCAATGCAGGAGACATGGGTTCGATCCCTGCGTGTGGAAGATCCCCTGGAGAAGGAAATGGTAACCCACTCCAGTATTCTTGCCTGGGAAATCCCATGGATAGAGGAGCCTAATGGGCTACACAGTCCATGGGGTCACAAAGAGTCACACACGACTAAACAACAACAACGGTACATTACTGGGCACTTGTAAAAAGACCTCCATGTCTCACTACTCACACTGTGAAACCTCTCCCTTTTTTTCAAGCTTGGATGTAGAATTGCTTAAAAAATTTTGGCATGCATCATTGTTAATTCTATAGAGTTATCCACTAAATAAAGCTTTAATTAGTTTGGTTTCAGAAGCCTGAAAAACAGTAACTCGAATTCCAGTTCCTTAATAGCACAAAAGCAGTTTATGTGATGGTAATTTGTTATATAAGGCACAAGAATTTGATGGCTGAATAGAACATTTTCGAGGTTAGCTGATGTTTATTGCAGTACCAGTATTGACTTATTGAGGGAAAAAAGCAAAACTTTTCCATCATTGAGTTATTATTCTGATCATGTTGTGTATTATATAATTTACTTGACTTGAGCTTATTGATGCTTTTCTAAGTATTGAGTAGTTATTGCACTATAATTTTAAACTAACTTATATAACTTACAGTCTGAGATTTATTTTCTCTTTAGATCAGATTTTTATTTCCAAATTCATCAAATGAAAATGTTTTCTTTTTCTATAAAATGGAGGCAAGAAAAACAAAGCACTTTGGTGCTTTAACATCTGATGTGATTTAATGGTGACATCCAAATTCAAGTCATGTATTAAATTTTGTGAAGATTAGTCTTTTTATGAAAATAAAAGTACGATTTTGAAAACAGGTTTATCAGTAACTGTTAATTTTTTATTCTGCTGAATTTTTTTGTCTACTTTAGGCAGCTAATCCAGGTTGTTTTCTGGAAGATTTTGTGAGGTGGTACTCACCTCGGGATTATATTGAAGAGGAAGTGGTTGATGAAAAGGGCAACATGGTTCTGAAAGGAGAACTGAGTGCCCGAATGAAGATTCCAAGCAATATGTGGGTAGAGGCCTGGGAAACAGCTAAGCCAATTCCTGCTAGAAGGCAGAGGAGACTCTTTGATGACACACGGGAAGCAGAAAAGGTAACTGAGGTTTGGGTATCTAATGTGACTGCTAATTATTATCCTAGTATCTTAAAAACTGTGACAAGATACGAGAGCTTTGAACATACTTGAGAAACAAAGCTTTGAAATGTTATGAACCTTTTATATATCTAATATTCACATTTAAGGTTTTAGAACTGGTTACAAATAGGCCAAAGAATAAGACCTGCATGTTTTATGTAAAATGCTTATTCTTGGACCATCAGCATATGTCAAAAACCTTAAAAATGATCATGTCCTCTGACCTAGCAATTCTGCTACCAAAAAATGTATTAAGGAAATAATGAGAGAACTATATAAAGATCAGTATGCAACAGTGATGTTCAAGAAGTTTTTTAGTAAAAAAATAGATACAACCAAAGTTTCAAAAAATAGAGCATTGTTTAATAAATTATGGTATAATCATTTAGTAGACTACTTTGGGTCTAGAGAGTATGGATAGAGAGTCTTAAGAAGAGGTGAGAAGGGATACAGAAGACTTAGATATAGCACAGTCACCCCAGAAAGACTGTTCCTAACACTGAGTGCCAAAATACTCAACACAGGTAGGGCTGGGCAGTTCACAGCACTGGCTCTAGGGACGTAAGGAGGGCTGGAAGTGGGCAATCAGAGACTCTCCTCTGCCTTAGGAAGGGCCAGGTAAGTAGGTAGAAATGACATACTCCTTAGAGATAAAGCAATGATGGGAAAGAAGGAAATAGGGGAACATTAAAGATTCTATAGAAAAAGGAGCGATATATATCAGCCTCCTTCATCTCCCACTATGCATTAAAGAAACTCTGCAAAGAGGGCACTTTCAAACTATGACATGACCAGTAGTAGTAAAGAGCAAACCACATCTATATAAAACTACTGTAAAAAAGTGTGAATTGGATCATTTCAGCTAATGAAAATATTTCCCAGAAAACTGACCACAAAGCAAAATAAAACTGTAACATAATAGTCTAATCTGAATCAAATATTTTCATAGAAGCATGGGAGGGTGTGAAAAATCATGTTTAATCAGAAATAATAAAAACAAGAGCCACATGAATCCAAAAACCCCACAAAGAAATGAAACTACTGCTAATTTAACTCAGGATAGAAGTAGAAGAAAAAACCAACCATATCAAAAATAAAGACTAAATTACATAGTGCCCACGGAAGAATAGGTTCATATTTAAATTTAATAAAAGGCATTGAGGAAGAGCATTAAAATAAGAGAAAATGAGATAAAGGAGTAAAAAGGATTAGAGAGAAAGTAGTAAAACTGAAAGATAGGAAAAGTAGAAATAACACTCATTTTATCAGAGTCCTTGAAGCAGAAAAATCAAAACACTGGAACAGAACTAAATACTTAAAACTGTAATCTAAGAAAACTTCCTGAAAATGAAAGAAATTCTGAATTTACATATTAAAAATGCTCATTGGGTGCAGGGGAAAATTGATTAGGTGTAGTGAACTCCAAATTTTATCACTGTTGTACTACTAGACCTTAAATATTAAAAAAAAAATTCTCAGACCTTGCAGGCAAAACATGAAAATAATTTACAAGGGCAAGAGAATTAGACAGTTGTCAGATTTTTCAGTAGCACAGCAGTGTGGGGCAGAGTTTTCAAGAAACATAAGCAAAAAATACAAATTAAATATTTTACATTCCACCAAGATGGAATAAAAAATGTTTTCTCAATGTTTTTGCACATAAAACTACATAGGCCCTTCCTGAGAAATCCACTACAGCTGCCCACTCCAGTAGAGCTTTCTGCAGTGTTCAGAATGGTCATAGCTTCGCTGTGCAAATTGTAGCCCCTGGCTACACGTGGCTTTAATGAGCTCTTGCAATGTGACTAGTAGCATAGGAACTGAATTTTTAAATGGCTCTCTGTGGCAGGTGGCTGCCTTATTGAACAGCATAGTAGAGAAGAATAAATTTAATCAAGAGGATGACTAGGGAAACTGGTGAAGGGCTAACGGTGAGCATTTCATTTATTTAATTTTAGAGCTAAAACTAAAACTAGATGGGTTCATGGGTAGAAGAAGAATATGTAAAAATTGTATATTAGGACAAAATAGAATGCATCTAAAAAACTTGGGATGGAAAAAGAGGAAGAGGAAAGTAGAATGCAGTCATTGACTGTTACATAGATAATAGGTAGTAATCAAAGGATACTATTTAAAATTATCAGACCATAATTTTATAAAGGAAAGATATAAAGTTCATAAAATAAAGATATAAAGGAATTAAGGGCAGCAGAAAAGGTAATATCGCAAGAATGAAAATATGAACCTCCCTAAGTACAATGGAAAAATTATTCACAAGCAAAGAACACACACCAAATAGACCAACACACATTATAAAGATCATACTACATAGAGAGTAATTGCAATGTAAGATAGTCTTATAAAACCCATGTCTGTGCTGTAAACAAGGTATTCTGTGACTCAAAAAGACTACAGAATAAACAATGGACAGAGATTTACCAGGTATGAAATATTAAGAATTCAGGGATTATCATCCGGATGCCAAATAAAAGAGAGGCAAAGCAGAAAAGCATTACATGAGATACATAAGGATGCTTTACAGTCTAAAAGTGATATTTCGCAATGAGAATATACAGTTGTCAATGTTTATGTACTGGAAAATGTAATCATTTGTATAAAACAGAAATCATGGAAGATGCACGGAGAAATAGATCAAAACACACTAGTAGCAGAATACTTTTAACACACTCCCAGTGTACAAGACAGTCAAGTAGACAAAACTAAACAAGATAATCAATAAGGTTGATCTTTTAGATACATCGCAAATACTGTACCTTGATAATAGAAACAGTATTTCCTTTTCAAACACGCATGGAACATTCACCAAAACAGATAGTATATTAGGGCGCAAAGAAAACATCAGTGAATTTCATAATGGAAATAACACCAATACTCTGATTGCTGCAATAAAATTAAGGATAATGGGTTAGATTGAAAGTATTTGATCAGTGTTAATTACATTCTTAATTTTAGGAAATACAGATATTTGGAGATAGAGGGATATCCTGTATGGAACATGATCTCAAATTATTTAGGAAAAAAATGCTTATATATTGTATGGACCTACAGAGGAGGAGAGATGTATATGATAAAAAAGAGATGAGGTAAAAGGAAATGAGTGCAAAGGATGTACAAATATTTTGTATTGTTGGAAATTTGTTTTCTGTAAGTTAAGGAAAACAACATTTGTAATAGTGTTAACAAGGATGTTCAATAGTGGGAACTCTTTATTACTCTATATAAGAATGAAAATCTGTTCAAATACTTAGTAAAATAAGTTAGAATATGATTTCAGTATTTGAAAAATAATAATTTGGCATTGTTTGTTTTTAGATAGGTACCCTGAAGAAATTCCTCTACATATATGCCACAAACTTATGAAATAATGTGAGAGGAACATTATTTTAATAGCAAAAAATGGGGGGGTGCATTTTAATATAGCAAATTATATATAGCATGTATTAATATCTATGCATCTCAGAAACAATCCTGAATGAAAGGTTACTGAGGGGCATAACTAGAAACAATTCATTTATACAAAGAGTAAAACCAGACAGAACTAGACAACACATTGTTTAGGGCTATGTACATATGTGAGACAGCAATGAAGAAAAGGAATGATTAGTGGTTACTTGAGGGATGGAGTGCATGAGCAAGGCAGTCTTGATCAAGGCGAGCACCAGGAGGACTTGGAAAGTTCTGGTATCTTCTGTTTCTTAAGCTGATTGGTGTGTAAACAAGTGTTTGTGTTTTCTGTATATAAAATACTCTGCTATGTGTATTTTAAAAACATTTTTAAATTTTAAAAATATTTCAAAACATGAAGCCCTTCTAGGCAGATAATTTTTTTAAAATATTATTTATTTATGCCTGTGCTAGGTCTTCCTTGTTTCAGTGGGCTTTCTCTAGTTGCGGAGTGCGAGGGCTACTCCCCAGTTGTGTGAGGGCTTCTCATTGCAATTCCTTCTCTTGTTGCAGAGCACAAGCTCTAGGCATGCAGGCTTCAGTAGTTGTGGAGCATGGGCTTAGTTGCTCTGCGTCATGTGAGATCTTCCTGGACCTTCCAGAGATAGAACCTGTGTGCCCTGCAATGGCAGGCGGATTCCTAACCACTGAACTACCAGGGAAGTCCCAAGGCAAAAAATTCTAAATCATAAATCATTAAATGACCAAAGCAAGTTTTGAAATTTTGAGCTTTTGTTAAGAAGTTGCATACACATGTGTATCTTTGTGTTTAAATAGGCGTAGAAATAAGCCTGAGAAGATAAACACAAAACTGTGTTGTTCTTTAGGAAGTAGGATTTCTCGAGAACTTCTGCATTATACTTCTTCGATTGTTTACTTTGAGATCTGTGAGCATTTTTCAGCCACAATGATACTATATTTCTTTTGTCTTTACTGTTGTTGAATAAAGAGCTTAAAGGTAGGGACCATGCCTTCCTGTGTGTTTTTTAATCAGAAAAATAAATCTTCATTTTGGAGAAAACAATAAAACAACTGAAACAAACCAAAAAATTTAGAGGAACATCGCTAGCAATGTTTAGAAGTCCTAAGCGAGGAAAGCAGTTTACTAAACAGTATTTTACATACCTAATATTAGTTTACTTAGGTGGCACTAATGGTAAAAAAAAAAAAAAAACCCTGCTAATGCAGGAGACATAAGAGACATGGGTTTGATCCCTGGGTTGGGAAGATCCCCTGGAGGAGGGCATGGACACCCTCTCCAGTATTCTTGCCTGGAGAATCCCATGGACAGAGGAGCCTGCTGGGCCACAGTTCATAGGGTCACATAGAGTCAGGCATGACTGAAGCGACTTAGTATGCATGCAAATATATTATGTATTTTCAAAGTTTTGAAAAATCCTGCAGTGAAAATGCTCCAACATTAACAGTTGTTATCTCAAGGTGGTATAATTTGCAGATGGTTTTTAGTGTTCTCTGTATCAAGAAAAAAGCATTATGAGAGTATTCACCATTATTAAGGACTGAAGTTCTTAGCTGTTTCCAGTAACATTATTCTTACTTTTGGGAGTAGCAGCTACTTACCTGAAGGAGTAGGATAGGTACTAAGAGAAGAGAGCTCTTCTCCACTCCTGTTAGAGGTGTGAATTCAGGGGACAGATCTTACTTCTGTAAGTGGCTGCTTTCTTCTTTGGCAGCTGTCTTGATCATTTATCTCTCTTTGTGTCTCTTTCAGGTACTGCACTACCTGGCAGTCCAGAAGCCGGCAGACCTTGCTCGGCACCTGTTACCCTGTGTGATCCATGCAGCTGTACTCAAGGTAAAGGAAGAAGGTAAATGTCTTACTTGATCGGCCATTAGTTCATTTCCAAAATGAAAGTAGACTTTGCCTGACTTCTCTAATGATGGCTTTGATCTTTTTAAAAACAGAAAGTCTAGAAAGCATTTCTTCAGTGAAGAAGATTATAAAGCAGATAATATCCCATTCCAGTAAAGTTTTGCACTTCCCTAATCCAGAAGACAAGAAATTGGAAGTAAGTCTGATCTTGTCAAATGTTCTTCCCAGTTGGCAGTAATAATTTAAAAATACATTTTTAAAATGCTTTGCTTTCTTTTGCCTTTTTCCAATGTATGCTTCTCCCCTTTTGCACTGTTAGGAAATCATCCATCAAATTACTAATGTAGAAGCTATAATTGCCAGAGCCCGCTCACTGAAAGCCAAGTTTGGAACTGAGAAATGTGAACAAGAAGAGGAAAAGGAAGATCTTGAAAGGTAATTGCTATCTGACGAACTCATCTTTCTCTCCTATAGGAAAAGCCACCACTTTCTTTAGAAAAACTTCATAGAATGTTGAGATTCCTTTGTAGTGCTCCTATATTATTTGTACCAAGCGTTGGTTAGAGACAGAGAAATATTTGTTCATTATAGGATTGCCCTCTCTTGTATTTCTGAGTACTTGCCACTTGTTTCCATTCCTCCCGGTTTAAGAACGAAGTCTTCCAAGTCTTCTAGGAATGTCCTTGTTTGCTCTTGGAGCAGTTGCCTCTGGAAGAACTGGCTGTTCATACTCACTCTTGTTACTGGAAACTTTGCTTCCCACTCTCACTGTTCTTAACTACAGGCAGACGTGTTCTGAAACTATTTCTGCTCAACATTGCTACTTACCAGTTCTAAACAAGAGTTGTGAAATCAAATGTGTATATCCTCTGTCCCTTGTGAATGTGACCCTTGGAGTGGGGTGACCAGATGGCCTCTCCAAGATGAGGCAAATGACTGGGTCAGTCTTTTCCTCCTTCTGAGATTTGGACCATTTCGAAGGGGGGCTATCAGTGCAGACCCCTGTCCATTTTTACCTGAGATACTTGAAAGAATGATGATGTTTTAATAGATGAGAAAGTGTTTCCAGATTAGCTACTTCACTGGCTTGAATTTGTTATAACAAAAATTTTCATCAGCCTTTCCAAGAGAAATAGCATTATTGATGTTAAATAATTAATATTATATGACAAGGCATTTGCTACAGCTTTTAACAAGTTCTTGTGTGAATATCATATCTTTTGTTGAGTGAAATTTTCTCCCAGCCTTCTTTGCTCTTGAATATTCCTTCCTTTTAAATGAGGAGAATACACTTTATAATCAAAGGAAGTTTCTAAAATAGCAGTTCGAGTTAGTGAGCAGGTGGTTTGAGCTTGGTGGCTCTGTCTTCGACTCTCTTAGTTCCACCATGCGTTGTCTGTGGTGTACTTGGAAGACGAATGCTTCCAGCACATAATGGCACAGTTTACAATTGGGACTGTGCCCAGCAAAACATATTTTAAGTGCATGCACGCACACACACACACCTCTTAAAAGAACAAAAATGAAAAATAAGTATCATTGCTTTGCTGTCTAAATTAAATGTGGTTTTTGTTGTTAAAAACATTAAAAAAAATCTTCTTTAGTATAACACTGTCTAAGCTTCTAGTCTGAAAGAAATAGGCTATTTCTTCTTACACTTTGGCAGAGATGGGCTTTTTGAAAAAATTTATAAAAAGAGTTGAAAGGCATGAAGGTTGTCATTTGAGTTGATTTTAATTCTAGATGTTGATCTATCCTGTTAAATTTTTACTCCAGCCTTGATGTAGGGTTCATCAGTATGAGTTTGAGGGTTTGTCCCCAAAATTAATCAGGGAGGACTGAGCCAGTGTGAACTGAGCAGCTCCTTTCCCATCCTTTCATTCCCTCTTTCTCCCAGGTTTGTGAGTTGCCTTCTGGAGCATCCTGAGGTGTTAGTCGTCGGTGCAGGCAGAGGACACGCTGGCACGATCATTCACAAGCTGTTTGTGAATGCTCAGAGGGTATGTGAGATTCCTTCTTGACTGTGTCATGATCTCTCCAGGCCTCTGCTCAGTAAGGTACTGTTTTGATTCCCACACATTGGAGCTGCTAAAAGCACTGGATTCGAACACTGAAGAAATAATGACTCTCAACAGTGACTTCTTAGTCTTTGAAATCCATCTGCTCTTTTACACATTTAAATAAAATGATAAGTTTATTTCTGAAATATGTATCTAAATTTCAGAAGTTAGAATGGTCTGAAATTCCTTGTTAAAAAATCTGATAGGGACTTGGTTAGCAATGACCAGTGCAATGGTGTGAAAAAAATGTTTACTGATGTCAAATTAGAATAGAGTTTAGTTTTACCAATTTTAAATTCCATGTACTGCAAGTGGATTCACAACGTAGCTTGTGAAATTGCAAATCTTAACTATTTTTATAACGGTGAAAAGATCTAACTTCAAAGTTTTCCTCAGAAAGAAGAGCAAGATTCAGATTTTTAGGACAGTGGAAACAGTCTTCAGCATAGGAAAAAAGCTCAATTTGAAAACTTTTCTGTCATTACCTTTATTGATGAAAGGAAATGTTTAAAAATTATATAGTACCTTCTGCCATTCTAAACTATTAAGATTTGAATTTTTTATGAGGTTGGTATTAGTTACACTCTATGTTGACGCTTTCTGTACAGATGTTTACTGGTTGTTTACTGGTTAAGAGGTGCTGGCTTTTTGCACATGAGTCTCACATTAGGACTTCTTAAAGATTCTGATAAAAGTATTTTGAAGCATAGTAAATACAGGGTGCCCCTTATGCAGTACTGTGATAACACTTAGAATGGTCCAATTTTGGAAGTGTAATTTTCACAGTCAAATAAGGAAAAGGATTTTCATGGGTTTATCCATGAAAAAGAAACTTTATAACCTCCTTTGAGTCAGTCTGGAGTGTATCTAGTTACTATATTCAAAATCGTAACCAGATATATTCATCTGAATTTTTAGCAAGAACTGAAACCTGAGATTATTTATGGGATGGCAAACTAAGGATTTCAAGTTAAAAACCAAATATTTTATTTCCTTATAAAGTTCTAGAAAACAATAGATACTTACTTCGATTTATTATGTTTCTGATTCTGGCATGAAACAAGAATCAGGTTTGTTTTCACATCCTGTAATATCTTTGCCAGTTTACTAGCCAGAACCTTACAGATATATTTGCTTGTTAACACCAATATGAATTTTCATCATACTGCAAAAATTCTTTTAATTTTTAAAACTTGTTTGTTAAGAAGATTTAAAAATCTAAAATATTTATGCTAAGAGTAGAACACTCTCATTGTTCTAAATAGTTAAGCAAAATTATTTTCCCCAATATGGAAATAATCTTCTCCCCCAAGATTGTAAGTAAACTCTTACTGTTGTAAAAATTTGGATAATACAGAGAATTATAAAGAAAAATTAATGACCCTAAAAAAATTAATCACATTGATCTCACTACCCACTGATGATCACTGTCAACATTTAACATCTAGTATATTCAAATATATGTAAATTTTACAATATAGGATTATATTATTTGTTCTTATTTTCCACCTAATGTGATTATCTTTCTCATGGGTTATCTTTCTCATGGGTCAATATAGGACTATATCATCTTTTCACTGGGCTCATTGTATAGCTAATTTCCTTTAATGGATACTGAAATTGTACATTTATCCCACGTTATGTAATTTTCAAATATTTCAAGCTTTCAAACCTTGTAGTGAATGTTTTTACAGATTCAGCAGACTAATCCATATAACAAGCACCTGGTTGGTCTGTTTTTAAACTCTGCTCTTAAATATCTGGGTAATTAATAGAAACCAGGCAAATTTACTCATGTAATTTTTCATAATTAACTGATACTTTATATCAATTCTACTATTAAATCAAGATTTTAGCATTTTTAAAGTTATAAAATTTTACTGAAAAATTTTTATACCATAATTTTACATATTTAAAACTTTTCCTTAATATTAAGTTTTAATAAACTTTCATCATGATTACGTTTATCATTGTTATATCCATATTTAAATAGAATTCTGCAAACAAATCACTGATTGGATTTTGCTTTGGTCGTGCTAAATTAAGTCAGACATCTAGTCTTAAATTAATTGGGTTATCTATTTTTCAAGCCATGAGTACTTTTTTTTAGTATTTTAATGTTTAGTGAAAGAGCTAGGTTTTTGCTGAACATTTCCTCATTATGTGACATTCTGTACATTGCCTGTTGAGCCATCAGATGCATGAGTAGTGGAATTTGTCTGCTCAGCTGGATGGCTAGGTGTGTTGTATGTGGTGTGTTTTTGTCTTGATATTCTTTTTGACAGGATCATGTTCCTTAATGTAGTGCATGCTGTCTCTGAAATAATCTTGAAATCTCTTGTCTAGCTCTTTTTAAACCATCTTGCTTGTTTCCCTTTCATCACTGTTTCTTTTCTCACCCTTCCTCAAGCTGACTGAGTCTTCTGATGAGGTAACAAAATAGCCTTTGTCCCTTGTAGTTTCTTGTTCCTTCCCATTTCTCTTAACTTCATAAGGTCATTAAGACTAACCAACCTCCTCTTTAACAGTCTGGGTTTGGCGTACCTTTCTTGCTGGTGTTTAACATTACATTTCATATTTCCATTGCTAAAACAACTTTTTTCCCGAAATTAATGGTATCGTGAAAGAAATATAGTAATCAGAGTTAAAATAAAAACTCTAGTTGAATATGTATTTTATGCAATTTTAATGAAAAAATAGATGCCTTTAATGTTGAGAACTTCTCTTTTGTGGCCACTGCTACATTTCATGGATCTCTATCACTTCTGCATCACATTAATCATCCAGCAAACAAACCAGTGTTCTCAGTTTTAATTTGACAAGTGAAAAGCATTGAAAGAATCGATAAATATCATCTTTCCAGACTCTGGAGAGCAGCAGCTCCTTACTGGACTGAGGACAGCAGACTTGGACTTTGGTCATTGCTAGAAGAAATGTATAGAAACCAGAACAGCTCCATTTTCCCTCTTCATCAGATGTCTGGATATGGCCCTCACTTTCCATAGCAGATTGCTTGGCTGTCATTATCCTCTGTCTCTGTCACCAATTTATTTGTAATTTCTGGCTGCTCATGTAGTGTTTCAAAGCTTTTTACATTTTCTGTGTTGTGATTTTTGAGCAATCATAACATAATCAATTGCATTACTGAGTAATGTAGAACATTTTTTCATATTTATCATGGTTATTCATCTGTCCTTCAAAATGATCTAAGTTTAGCATTCAACTCGCTCTTGAATTTAGCATGTGATTCTCTTCAAGGCTGCAACCATGACTCCAGCAGAGGAGGAACTGAAGAGGATGGGCCCCCCAGAAGAGAAGAGGCAGAACTTGGCAGCAGACTTCCCTCCCCCCGCGGGCCGGGAACTCATTTTGCGCACAGCCGTGCCCCGCCCTGCTCCCTACTCCCGGGCTCTGCCTCAGCGCATGTACAGTGTTCTCACCAAAGAGGATTTCAGACTTGCAGGTGCATTTTCATCAGATACCTCCTTCTTCTAGCTCTTCTTGAGTTCCCTCACTTGTGGCTTCGGAGACAGTGCTGACCCCTTCTGTGGGAAGGAAGCTGTGTCAGTCAGAACCTGAGAGGCCGTGAAGAGGACCTGTCCAGTTCAGTGATCGAGTCATACCAGCATCTGAGAGACTTTCTGATGGGCTCCATAGGATCTTGGTGGGGGCAGAGGAATGGGCTTCAGCTCTTGAAAGATTTCTGCTCCAAAGAGATTGCCCTTGTTGGGGAGGGGGGGCAAGGAGGACACTAAAACAGCAGCAGTTCTCTGTACTCACTCCCTCAGGATTGCATTCACTTCTTCTGCGTGACTATCCCACAGGCTGTTGCCCTGCATTCATAGTCTCTATAACCACTTACGTTTATTAGTATCAAGTATGCAAAGTAGAGTATCTGTTAACTCAGATTTCCAGATATTTTGGTAGTAGCTTCTACTCCCAGAATCTGTGTTTTTAGAATCCTAAATGACATTCTGTTTATTCAGTCACCTGGTGGCAATCTTCATTGCACTAATTAACTTTTGATGAACATTTTGAATATTCTAGGAGAAAGCCTGAAATTTCACCTAGTCTGTGTTTTTCCATGTAACTGTGACTTAAATGTATTCCTTCTGATTAAAAAAAAAGTATATATTAAATGTCACTGCAAATTAGTTTTATATATCTCTTGTAAGGTTCGTTTCTCTGACTTGTTTTGTCTTCAGTGGGCTTCCCTGGTGGCTCAGTGGTAAAGAATCCACTTGCCAAGGCAGGACACGCGGGTTCAGTCCCTGGGTCAGGAAGTCCCTGGAGAAGAAAATGGCAACCTACTCAAATATTCTTGCTTGGTGGGCTGCAGTCCTTGGGGTCGCAAAAGAGTTGGACACAACTTAGCGACTGAACAATGACAACAAGCCCTGGAAGATACACCATGCAGGTGGTGGTTCTTTCTCTTGCTGTACAGCATGCATTCCTTTTTTTGTAGTTACTGGATGGATACTGTATTTAATGAAGTAGAGATGAGCACATGCTAAAAATATAGCCTTGTATATAGAGATTATTATGCAGTCAGTATAATTCAGCATATGTGCTAATGTAGTGAATAGAAGATAACTTCAGTGAACTGTTTTGCTTTTGTATTTTACTTAAATGAAGATAATTGATGGGGGATGTGTGGCACCCAGTCTAAGGATAACAGCAACCTATTTCTAGTTACGTGATGATCAAGGTTTATCAAGTCTGTGTTCCTGAAATGGCCTCTGTTCAGTAATCTTAAATCTATTTTTAGGCCTAAAATTCCCACCTTACTCCAAAGTTAAAAATGATTATACTGAAGCATAGATCTTGGCTATGTAACTTAAAAGAATTAATACAACTCTGTAAACCCTGTTACATTATTTTTGTAAAAACAAATGTAAATGTGTGTATATATAAGCATATATATATATATATATATATATGTATGTATGAAGTGTGGGAGGCCATGATTGATTACCTCTGGCCTTCACAGCACTTTACTCTGAGATGCTGGACTTTGCTGCTGGGTAAACCACATACTAGAGGCCCAAGGACTGAGCGCAGTACCAAGTATTAAGAGAAAGCTTGTTTTTCAAGGACAGAGTTTGTCTGCTTTCTAATGAGAAAGTTAACAACAAAGAAACATTTTTCAAAGTGGTTGGACTTCAAAAAGGCTTCATGAATCTAATAAAGGGGAAGGTGTTGTTCTCTGGCTAATTTTCTCTTCTTTTCACCCCTCCATTGGGCATTTTGTTCTTAGTTAGTTTTATGCTGGTCTCAGATTTTCCTAAATAATTGCAGCCTGCTGAGTCTTGGCAAAGAACTCAAGAACACATTGTGCCTTTTTTAATGGCAGTTATTCCATTTTACTTTTATTGTATTTATATGTTTGTTTATTTTAAAATATTTTTAAGTACCGCCTTCATATCAGGTACTGTACTAGGCAATGAAGATAAAACAGAAACCAAACATACTCCCTCCCTACCAGTGACCTTCCTGTCAGGTAGGGAAGGCTGTGGTTACGTTGCCAAAAATGGAGAGTGCAGTCAACTCCGTGGTATGAAATGAGGTCCAGGGTTTGTCATAGTAATTCATTCATTTGTTGTTAATGGAGGCTAACACATGCAGCAATAGTGAATATAAGGGATTGTGGGAGAGAGTTTTCAGCCAGGCTGTGGGGTAAGGAAACTCTTCCTAGGCATGGTTTCTAGGTTGAGAGCAGAAGATGAACAGGACCTGAGGATCCCTGGTGGTCTGTGGTTGGGAGCCCACACTTCACTTTGGGGGCCTGGGCTTGATCCCTGATCAGGAACTAAGTTCCCACAAGTGGCCAAAAATATAAAAGATGGGGAGTAGGAGCTAAGGGGAGAAAGTATGATAAATGGCAAAGAAGAACTACAATATTTTCACCATCCTGTATGTTTGCCCCTAACATAATGATGGTGTCACTGCTTCCAGGAAGTGGAGTTTATTTTTCCAGTTCTTTGTTCTGGACTTAGCCATGTGTTTCTTTGGTCATCGGAGCGTTACCAAGCATACAGAGTTTGTTATACAGCAAAAATTAGCTGATACGGGAGGGTGTAGGAAGTGTGTTACAGCTAGAGAAAACAGAATGGGCAGAAAACTCACAAGCAGAAGAAAATGTATCTTTGGAGAATAGCCAGCATTTCAGTTTGGCTGGGTGTGATACCCAGAGTAGAAAGAGGCAAGATACGAAGATGGTAAGGTCACTGAGGCTAGATGGAGTTCTGGGTAAAACACAGTAAGATGTTCAGGCCATTGTCTTCAGGGCGTTAGTGAGTCGCTAAAGAGTTTGAAGGGAGGAAATGAGTGAGTTTTAGACCACACTAAATGGATTGGAGAGGCTAACAAAGTATTTACATGTCCTAGGTCTGCTACTAAACTGGAAAGTAGCAATTATATCATCAGTGTTTCTTTTTATCCCCTCCTTTGTGCTTTGTAATGGTGTTTCCACATAACTGCTCCTGGAACCAACAGGAAGTATCCTCTCATGGGACTTGCCACCTATATGTTCCTTTGTTGTTATTGTTTAGTTGCCAAGTTGTGTCCTACTCTTTGGGACCCCATGGACGGCAGCACACCAGGCATGTGATGTGATCCACTGGAAGAGGGAAATAGCAAGCCACTCCAGTTTACTTGCTGTGAGAACCCCGTGAACTGGATAAAAGGGCAGTATGTTCCTCTACCACCATAATAATCCAGGTTTTTCTTCAGGATGGGATTTTTAAAACCGTCTTAGCATTTATTTTTATATTCCATTCATTAATTTAGCACATGTCTTATTTTGTTGTTGTTCAGTCATAAAGTCTTGTCTGACTCTGTGACCTCATGGACTGCAGCATGCTAGTCTCCTCTGTCATTCACCATCTCCCGGAGTTTTCTCAAATTCATGTCCATTGAGTCGGTGATGCCAGCTAACCATCTCATCCTCTGCTGCCCTCTTCTCCTGTCTTCAGTCTTTCCCACCATCAGGGTCTTTGCTAATGAGTCAGCTCTTTGCATCAGGTGGCCAAAGTATTGGTGTGTCAGCATCAGTCCTTCGAATGAGTATTCAGGGTTGATTTCCTTTAGGATTTTGACTGGTTTGATCTTGCAGTCCAAGTGATAGCACATGTTTACTGAATGCCAACTGTGTGCCAGTACTGTTCTGGACAGTGGGGATATAGCAGTGAACAGGACAGGTACAAGGCCTTCATATTTACAGTGAGGGATAAGTATAATCAGATTATCTGAGTGAGGGGAGAATACTTTCTAGACAGGAGATAAGGGAAGGCCTGTGAGGCAGGGACCACAGAGACCTTAGTGAAGTGAGGGAACTGGCCCTCTGGATGTCTGAGAGATGATCTCGGACAGGGGGTAGAAAAGAAGGGGGTGTGAGTGAACGTGGTATGTCAGAGGCACTGAGAAAAGGCCAGAGTGGTTGTAGAGATTATAGTAAATGAAAGAGGGGAGAATGAAGGAAAGACAGTTGGACAAACCTGCAAGGACCAGATATACACTAAATGTTAGGAGGTTGGATTTGTTTTCTTGACTGAGAGGGAAAGTCAGTGGAGAATTCTGAATAGGGGAGGAAGGCATGGTGTCACGTTACAGCATTTGGGAACTTCACTCTGGCTGCCCTGTGGAGAATACAGTGCAGAGGCCGACGTAGAAGCAGTGAAACTGGGAGTGTTGATGGTTTGGAGCAGAGTGGTAGCAGTGGAGGGTATAAAAAGTGATCAGATTTGATACATGTTTTGAAGGTGGAATGCACAGGATTTGCTGATAGAATTACTGAGGATATGAGAAAGGATCATAGATGACTTGGAAGTTTGGGACCTGAGTAACTGAGTGAATGAGGCTGTCATTTACTGAGATGGGTATGACTGTGATATGGGCAAGTTTTGGGGCTGATGTTAATAAAGATTTTGATTTAAGGGAATTCCCTGGCAATGCAGTGGTTAGGACTCTACGCTTCCACTGCTGGGGGCACAGGTTCAGTCCTTGGTTGAGGAACTAAGATCCTGGCAAGCCAAATGGACTGGCTGAAGGAGTTTAAAAAAAAAGAACTATAAAAAAAGACTTTGAGTTCAGTTCAGTCGCTCAGTTGTGTCCAACTCTGCGACCCCATGAACCGCAGAACACCAGGCCTCCCTGTCCATCACCAGCTCCTGGAGTTCACCCAAACCCATGTCCATCGAGTCGGTGATGCCATCCAACCATCTCATCCTCTGTCGTCCCCTTCTCCTTTCCCAGCATTGTCCCCTTCTTCTTTCCCAGCATCAGGTTCTTTTCAGTGAGTCAGCTCTTTGCATCAGGTGGCCAAAGTATTGGAGTTTCAGCTTCAGCATCAGTCTTTCCAATGAACACCCAGGACTGATCTCCTTTAGGATGGACTGGTTGGATCTCCTTGCAGTCCAAGGGACTCTCAAGAGTCTTCGCCAACACCACAGTTCAAAAGCATCAATTCTTCTGTGCTCACCTTTCTTCACAGTCCAACTCTCACATCCATACATGACTACTGGAAAAACCATAGCCTTGACTAGATGGACCTTTGTTGGCAAAGTAATGTCTCTGCTTTTTAATATTCTGTCTAGGTTGGTCATAACTTTCCTTCTGAGGAGTAAGTGTCTTTTAATTTCATGCAGTCACCCTCTGCAGTGATTTTGGAGCCCAGAAAAAGTTAAGATATGAAAAAAAAAAAAAAAGGATATGTTAATTTTGAGATACCAATTAGTTACCTGTGGTAGCCAGCATCTAAGATGGTCCCAGTTGTTCTCCACTTCTTCTCTCCAGAATCAAACCCTTCTGTAGTTCCCACCCCCCAAAAATTGTACCAAGACTGGTCTTTGTGACCAGCAGAACATGGAGAAAGTGTTGGTATGTGACTTCCAAGATAGGTCTTCCCTGGTGGCTCAGTGGTTAAGACATGCATTTCTACTGCAGAGGGTGTGGATTCAATCCCTGGGTGAGGAACTGAGATCCTGAGTGCCAAAAAAAAAAAGATTTCCGAGATTAGGTTATGAAAGACACAAATCTCAGGGTGCCTTTCTCTCTTAGATTACTCTGGTGGACGTCTACTGCCATGTCGCAAACAACCCTAGGGAAAGGCCCATTTCTGAAGAATGAGGGCTCCTGCAAGTGGCCATACACACTTGGAAGCAGGTTCTCCCCAGCTTCAGAAGACTGCAGCCTCCTGAGGGACCTTGAGCCAGAATCACCCAGCTAAGCAGCTCCTGGGCTGCCAACCCTCAGACACTGTGCGAGGGTGTCTGTTGTTTTAAGCTTCTCAATTTGGGGGCCATAGGTTACATAGCAGCAGATAACTAATACAGTCAGTCCCATCACTTTATGGCAAATAGATGGGGAAACAATGGAAAGAGTGGCAGGTTTTATTTCCTTGGGCTCCAAAATCACGGATAGTGACTGCAACCACGAAATTAAAAGACACTTGCTCCTTGGAAGAAAAGCTATGACAAACCTAGATAGCGTATGAAAAAGCAGAGATATCACTTTGCTGACAAAGGTTCATATAGTCAGAACTATGGTTTTTTCAGTTGTCATGTACAGGTGTGAAAGTTGGACCATAAAGAAGGCTGAGCGCTGAAGAATTGATGCTTTCGAACTGTGGTGCTGGAGAAGACTCTTGAGAGTCCCTTGGACAGCAAGGAGATCAAACCAGTGCATCCTAAAGAAAATCAACCCTGAATATTCATTGGAAGGACTTTTGCTGAAACTGAAATTTCAATGCTTTGGCCACCTGGTGTGAAGACCTGACTCATTAGAAAAGACCCTGATGCTGAGAGACATTGAGGACAAGAGGAGGAGTGACAGAGGATGAGATGGTTGGATGGCATTGCCGACTCAACGGACATGAGTTTGAGCAAACTTCAGAAGACAGTGAAGGACAAGAAAGCTTGGCGTGCTGCAGTCAGTGGGGTCACAAAGAGTCAGACATGACTTAGCGACTGAACAACAGAACAACAGTCAGAAGTGATTAGGCTGGAGTTTAAGGGAAAGGTTAGGGCTTGTGCTATAAATTGGGAAATATGGGCATAGATAGTACTTAAGCTGTAGAATAGTCTTGAGACCCTTCAGAAGGAGATGCTCTAGGGACTGAGCCAGAGATGAGAAAGAGGAGGGGGCAGCCAGAGGGTACTGAGGAGGAGGATCCACTGAGGTAGAAGGAAAACTGGAAGTGTGATTTCCTAGAAGCCAAGAGAAAAAAATCTTTGAAGGGAGCAGTTGATGAACTGTGTCAGATGCCATTGAGACATTGAGTAAGACACAGACAAAGCACTGGCGGGTACCTGTGGTTGCAAAGTAACAGGCATCAGAGAGGGAATGCAGTTCTTACTGGGAAAGAACAGAGGTGACCGCCGGAAGCCATGATTGTGTCCCCTCCAACCGTGGGCATACTTAATACTTCTGCCCTAAGCTAGATGGGGTTTTGGTTGCTGTGCACTATTCCTTGCCAGGAACTGGAGAGCAGGGGGCAGGAGGATAGGATAAGGAACGGGGCAAGAGTATGAAGCCAGTTGAGTCTGTTATAAGCCAACTGTGACCCACTCTTGTTGCCTGCATGCAGAGTAATGGATAGGACTGGGCATTCGTCAAGCAATGAATGAATGGGTGGCTGCCTCTTGGTGGCAAAACTGTTGTGTTTGAATCTTCTCAACTCAATTTCTTTGTCACTGGGCACCATGAAACCAGAACATTGTAGAATATTAGCTCCTGAAAGCCAGAGGCCTGCTGCTGACATTGCTCCAGCTCTGAGAAGTGGAGCTTGGCATCAGCCTAGAAAAGTGGGCTCACCTAACTCAAGAAATGCAAAATAAAGCTGGTTTGTATTCACATAACTTCTTTGCCAGCAGTGTTTCCCCTGGGAGCTTGTGATGTCTGACCAGTGGTCATTGATAAATTCCCCAAGTGAAGGCTCACCTACAGCAGGGACCATTTCCAGGCTGAGCTTATCCGCCCAGGTAAGCAGCTGGACAGAAGACCCCTCCTTTGTCCCCACCCAGAGAGGACAGGACTTGGCACAGTCCCTGACTTGTTCTCTGGGGTTATGTTCCTCTTGGCCCCTCCCCGAGGCCAACCTCGCCAGTTCCTAGAGATCCTGATTCCTGCCCTTCCCCCCACTTTCCAGCTGAGTGAGCCTCTCTAAGAAAAGTATGGCCTCCCTAACAGGCTGAAAAAAGAAGCTGAAATTTTTATTCCATGCAGAACCATGATAGAATGTTTCTTTTCAAGTTTTGCAGGTTTGTCTTCATCTTTGTCCAGAACAGGTAAAGCGAATGACTTGTGAGGGAGATGTTTGCAGGCTGGGCTAGTTCGTGCTAGAGGTGCTGTTAGTTGGGTTCAAAGCTGTTGAGTTTAGTGTCTGCAGTACATAGCAGGCTTGTGATAAAAACTATTTCCCAGGAGAGAAAAAGAATTCATCACTGTATTCATTTCCTAAGGCTGCAGTAACAGAGTATCGCAAAACAGATGATATTAAATGGCAGCAATTTATTGTCTCACAGTTCTGGAGACTCCCAATTCAGAAATAGAGTGTTGGCAGGACCATGCTCTCCGAAGCCTGTTGGGGAGGAGGCTCCTTGCCTTTTTCTGGCTTCTGGTGGTTGCTGGTGTCCTTGGTGATCCTTAGCTCCCAGCTGCAGCACTTTAGTCTCTGCCTCAGTGGTCACAGGGCAGATTATGCCCCCTACCCCCGTGTGTCTCTGTCTCTTTTTATGACACCAGCCACCCCACTCCAGTGCAACCTCATCTGAATTAGTTACCTCTGCAGTGACCTTATTTCTGCACCAGGTCACAGTCAGAGGTACTGGAGTTAGGACCTCAGCATATCTTTTTTTGAAGAGGGCTGAGGCACAGTTCCACCCATGAAAGCATTACCCAAAAGCCATGCAGATGGACAGGGGCTGCCCTAGTGGCTGGTGAGCCCTGGGCCCTGATGGCAGGGGCAGGGGCCTGGCTCTGGAGAGTTGGGCTCCAAACCTCTGCCTTCTCGTCAGCCACAGACACCGAGCTGCTGCTGCAACTCCTCTTCCACTTACGTGGGGACAGAAGCGCCCAACAGACTTACAGACATTCAACAAGATGGCGTCTGAGAAGCGCGCAGCATGGTCGGGTACTTAGGTACTGAGTGGCCCAGCTGTGGGTGAGTTTCTGCTCAGCTGTTGGCTACAAGCCCTCTTCCCCGTGGAGACACATCCAGTGTTCACAGAGACGACAAAAACAACAAGAGGGTCCCTGGAATCTCTACCTGCTCATCAGGTGAGTGGTTTTCTTTTGATTCCCTTCCTCCTCCTCGGCTCACAGGCTCCATGGAAGAAGTTACTTAAGTTTAAAGGCCAAGTAGACATGTCGAGGCAGATGGCTGGGGCGGGCAAGTGAGGAAGAGTCGTGCCACGTTCCAGGCCCCGGGCTCATCTGCGGAGGCCCCCAGCCCTGGTGCCTGTGTGGCCAGGGTGGAGGAGGAAGCGGCGGCTGGCTCATGATCCTCACAGGCCCCACTGGGGAGTTTGGAGCTTATTGAGAGAGAGCAGAGAAGCTCTGGGAAGTTTTCAGTAGAGTGACAGAGGTGCAAGCCCAGACTCAGACCCATCAGAAACTGGTGATCACCACAGTGACCCCTGTGTGACGTGGCTGTGGCCTTGACCATGGTGGTGATGGCGAGACGTGCGGCAAGCAACACCGGCAGGACTTGGAGAAGCCCGGGAGGGGGGCGGTGAGAGCCAGAGCGGGTCTGCATGCCTCGCTCTGACCGCAGGGGCCAGCTGCTTGTTGGGAGAGGGTTTGTGCCTTGTATCCAGCCTGGCACAGCCACTTGCCCGCACAGCAGCCCCAGTGCGATCGGCACCGTCTGTCAGGTGACACAGGATGCGCTGCTGTCTCCCGAGGGGTGCCCGGTGCTCACAGCGCCCAGGAGCCCCCGGCCCCGTCGCTGGCTGGTGATGGGTGGGAGAGCCTGCTCCTCTGCGACTTTTCCTTTGCCTGAGCGAGTGGCCTCCACTCACATGGACTCTCTTGTGTCAAGCACTTGTCAGGAACGTGACCTGGGCTGCTTCTAGGGACCAGTCAGACCTGTCTAATCAGCAGTGGAGACATGGATCAGAACTTTTCTTAACTTCTTCAGCCATTTGACAGTTTGAGTAAATAATGACTTGTCAGTGCTATTTATTCCCATTCCTCTTTTTCAGCCCTATTTTTGGCCCAGAACAATCTTTATTTTTGTCTGTGTTACATAACGAGGGAACGGCATTCTTAGTAACCCACTGTCACTCCTGTGTTATCTTGCCTACATGAAAAAAGGAAATATTTTTAGAGTGTGAATTTCCCAAATGTTCTCAACTATTCTGGGACTGGAGGGATAACGTCATGGTGGGAGGGCAGTGTGGGGAGAGGCCTGGTCATCCTCTCTTTGGCCAGGGCTGACCCCTGCACCTCAGAAGCTGGCTGGACCTTCTGCCTACCTGGTCCTACCCTGGCCAAGAGGCAGGGGCTCCTCTCTGCACCGGTTTAACGAGTTCAGCTGGTTCTGGAGCCTAGAAATACCCTTACTTGATATTCTTCATTATCAAGTTTGGAGGGGGTACAAAACGATTACAAGCAGTGAGCCCTTCTTCTTCAGCATTCAGGGGACAGGCTGGATTTCCTTAGTGGGAGGTCGAACCAGGGAAGCCAAAGTGCTTTGAATAAGTTTAAAAGGCTCCTTTCTGGCAGCCCTGGGAAGCCATACTTAGCTTAACTGGCTGTGGCGTCAGAAGGCAGCTTCCATGAAATGGGTGTGAGCTGGGCGAGTGCAGCCCCAACGGGATGGGCTCAGCTGAACTGCAGAGTCTAAAAATAAACCTGTCCAAAGGGCCTGAGAGTTTCAGGTCTTGCCACCTGATTGGAGAGCTGGACATGTTTCCTTCCTGTGTTTATGAGGTTCCACAACAGTGTCCTGGTTGAAAACTGCTCTCAAACTGGTGCACAGCCTCCTATGGGGAAAGCCCACTGACCTCTAGGCACAGGGGTGCGTCTGGGAGGAGTCTGAGACAGACCTCTCTGGGCTGTCATGGGAACCGTTCACCCAGTGAGTCCTGTGAGAGTCAGGGTACCCGGGTACTCCTACCCTGAGGAAATGCGCCTGGGCCTATGGGTGCAGGGGTTCTAGCCCTCCTACCTCTGTGCAAGAGGAGGATTCTAGGTCTATCTGTGACCATCACACATGCACTCAGGTCTAGTGATGGGAGGAGCTGGGCAGGGTACAAGCACAGCTAGGCTGTGAGAGCTGAAGGGCCTGGCCAGATGCACAGGAAGGCCAGAGGTTCCGTCCACGTGCGTGTCTCAGGTACACATGTGGTGGCCATGGCGTGTGGTCACTTGGCTGATGTATGGGTTTGAGTCATGCCTAGAAGCAAGAGGGCTAGTGGGTGACTCTAGTTGATCACCCAGCATCAGCCTATCCCTCAGTGTTCACATAGTTTCCAAGTGAAAATGCTGGCCCTGGAAAGAAAGAAAGCTAGAGAAGAGATTTTTTAAAAAGATTATTTATTTATTTTTGGCTGTGCTGGGTCTTCATTGCTGCATGTAGGCTTTCTCTAGTTATAGCTAGTGGGGGCTACTCTCATGGTGTGTAGGCTTATTGCAGTGGCTTCTCTTGTTGCTAAGCATGGGCTCTAGAGCTTGTGGGCATCAATAATTGGGGCTTGAAGGCTCTACAGCGTGAGGCTCAGTAGTTGTGGCACAAGGGACTAGCCACTTCTTGGCATGTTGGATCTTCCCAAACCAGGGACTGAACCCTTGCATTGCAGGGCAGTTTCTTAAACACTGGACCACCAGGGAAGCCTGAGGGATTTAATAAAAGGGTGACTAGATGTTTGTTCAGTTCAGTTCAGTTGCTCAGTTGTGTCCGACTCTTTGCAGCCCCATGAATCGCAGCATGCCAGGCCTCCCTGTCCATCACCAACTCCTAGAGTTTACTCAAACTCATGTCCATCGAGTCAGTGATGCCATCCAGCCATCTCATCCTCTGTCGTCCCCTTCTCCTTCTGCCTTCAATCTTGCCCAACATCAGGGTCTTTTCCAGTGCTTCAACTCTTCGCATGAGGTGGCCAAAGTATTGGGAGTTTCAGCTTCAGCATCAGTCCTTCCAATGAACACCCAGGACTGATCTCCTTTAGGATGGATTGGTTGGATCTCCTTACAGTCCAGGGGACTCTCAAGAGTCTTCTCCAACACCACAGTTCAAAAGCATCAATTCTTCGGTGCTCAGCTTTCTTCACAGTCCAGCTCTCACATCCATACATGACTGCTGGAAAAACCATAGCCTTGACTAGATGGACCTTTGTTGGCAAAGTAATGTCTCTGCTTTTTAATATGCTATCTAGGTTGGTCATAACTTTCCTTCTGAGGAGTAAGTGTCTTTTAATTTCATGGCTACAATCACCATCTGCAGTGATTTTGGAGCTCAAAAAATAGTCTGACACTGTTTCCACTGGTTCCCCGTCTATTTCCCATGAGGTGATGGGACCGGATGCCATGATCTTAGTTTTCTGAATGTTGAGCTTTAAGCCAACTTTTTCACTCTCCTCTTTCACTTTCATCAAGAGACTTTTTAGTTCCTCTTCACTTTCTGCCATAAGGGTGGTGTCATCTGCATATCTGAGTTTATTGATGTTTCTCCTGGCAGTCTTGATTCCAGCTTGTGCTTCTGATGTTTGTGTTCCCCTAGAAATCCTAATCCACAGTGTGATGGCATTAGGAGGTGGGGCCTTTGGACGGTGATTAGGTCATGAGGTGGAACCTTAATGTGAATGGGGTTAGTGTTCTTACAAAGACACCCCAGAGAGCTCTCTCACTGCTCCTGCCACATGAGGACACAGCAGGAAGTCAGCAGGTGGCATCCCAAAAGAGGGTCTTCATAAGAGCCTGGCCGTGCTGGCACCGTGATCTCAGATTTCCAGCCTCCAGAACCATGAAAAATCGATTTCTTTTGATGATTGGCACCCAGTTTATGGTATTTTGTTAAAGCAGCACAAGCTGACTAAGACCAACAGGCTTTAAAGAATGGTTTTCAAATTTTTAATTGCTTAGTGATATGGTTAAAACACAATATAATACAGCATTAATGGCCGAACTGTATAAATGACTTCAGGCTTATATTTACAAAATCATTAAGCATAATATATTTTTCAATTTCATGGGGAAAAGCATTGGTTAGTGGGATGCAGTTGGGTTCTTTGGTGGTAAGAAACAAAGGATTCCCAGAGAGAACTGAGGACCATGGAATGAAATTGAGCCATCACAGGCCTGACCATGGAGTCTAGAACCTGGGTTTTGGGATTTGGGTCAGCTCTAGAGAACCTTAGCAGCAGGAATTCACAGCTTCTCCTCCTAGTGCGTGACTATGAATGCGACTTGGCTACGAGTAACTGTCTTTCGGTCCTAGTCCCAGCTGGCCTCTTCCACTCGTCCAGCTTGATCCCTCGGGTAATCGGTGCATGGCAGCTTCTCTGCCCTCTACATCACCACCTCTCAGTACCACTTTCTGTCCATACCTAGCTTGATCTTTCACTTTTCCAGTTCTGCAGAGAAACACCCATCAGTCCAGTTTACCTTTTCATCCCAGCCCCATCTGGGCATAATTTGTGGGTCACTATCCAGCCTTGGGTTGTCCTTTCAGCTGTGCTGAGAAGAGTTCATGGATGTGACATGGTCACTGCTCCCTTAGGATGGTCATGAAAAGGAAAAAGTCCTTTAGAAGATGGTGTGGCCATAATTCCAGTGTGGTCGTGTTTATGACTTTAGTTATTCCTGAAGGTTTTTATTTACCTTTTTGTTTGGAAACTTAGAGAGTTGGAAGGATAGTACAAAGAAATCCAAAACATCCTTTATCCAAATTCACCCATTGGCAATATTTTGCCATTTTCATTTTCTAGGCCAAGTTTTTAATACATCTGTGTTAGATAAAAACTACGAATCCTCCATCGCCACTCTGCCCACCTTAGCTTTTTTCCTCCCCACCATGTTCTGATGGAGAAATGACAAAAACTATGTTGGGTCAACTCTAAGGAAAGAACTTGTGGGAAATGGAAGACAGTGTAACTGGGGGACAGCACACGGGTGTTAAAGGTACCGAGGATGTTGGGTTTATTGCTGTTCATTTGACTGTTTTAAAAAATAGTATACTCACTGGGAACTGAACGTTTCAGTCACACAAGATGTATGACTGCATGCTGTGCTGTGTTCAGTCGTGTCCAACTCTTTGCAACCCTGTGGACTGTGGCCTGCCAGGCTCCTCTGTCCATGAAGATTCTCCAGGCCAGAATACTGGAGTGGGCTGCCATGCCCTCCTCCAGAGCTTCCCAACCCAGGGATCAAGTCGAATCCAGGTTTCCCACAATGCAGGTGGATTCTTTACCATCTGAGGGACCAGGGAAGCCCAAAAATACTGTATTGGGTAGCCTATCCCTTCTCTAGGGGATCTTCCCAACCCAGGAATCGAACCAGGGTCACCTGCATTGCAGGCGGATTGTTTACCAGCTGAGCTCCCAGGGAAGCCCTACCACGACTGTGTGATTGAGGGGTAATGACGAGCAAGCTGGCTTAGCTTGCTGGCCAGTTCTGGGGGTCTGGCTGCAAGATCCAAACTGGTCTGTGAGGCGGTTTGATGCCAAGTTGTGGAGGCTTAAATATCTACCTTGGCTTAAGTGTGGATGGGGACAGTTGTGGATCTTATCATGGGGTGGGATTTCAAACGGATCTGTGGAGGGTTAAGAAATGTGGACGCCTGCTCTCAGAGCTGCCTGCCATTTTGCCACCTGCCTGCACCCTCCCCTCTGTGTCTCCTCTCACACAGGATGAGACCTGTGGCTAAAGGCTATACGGTGATGTCTTATATGCGCCTTTTTATAGGTATGGAACAACAAAAAAAGGTTGTGGTTCTGAACAGTAATTTCTAAATTCTCTTAGTTTATTTACATGAGATATTTAGAAAGGTCATCCATCTTTACCACCAAAACCCTTGTAATGAATATTTCCCTGCAATAATGAGAGATGGTAAGTAGGTCATTCAGCCACATGA